AATATTTCAAAGTGCAGTTCAGTAGAAGTCCTCCTGGTGGCACAACAGACCTTACAAAAATCTCTCGGTATGAAGTCTTCCCAAAAGTCCAACGGGAACGTGTCAGGACACTGCCTTTCTGAGAGGGAACTGATGCATTCAGCAAAACTTATTTTAAAAGTTTGCCATGAGCAAAAGTGAGGGTGTAATTTCACAGAAGCATATCATTCTGACAACAATATTCTCAAGGCTGGGCTTGGTGTCTCCAGTGCTATAACAACTTTCAAAATACTTTCCACCCCAAATTCTTACATTATTCTGACAGAATAGTCCCATGTGTTGCAGTGCTCCAAGCCATTATATTGGTTTTCCTTTTCTCACTGTCCCAGCCCTGTAACTCTGTAATGCTGTGTTAGCATTTTTTCCTTATGTGGTGATGACACACAGATAGAGGTATTTTGGAAGTATTTCTTGTTGTATCATGGGGAATTTACTAGGAAGGGCTCTGACTCATACTTTCCTCTGCATGCCGTGCTGTGAAGCCAACAGCACAAACCAGTTACCAGCACAGAGACAGTTCTTGTGTTTTAAGCTGTTCCTGCTACCCTCCTGTCCTTTTCAAATGCCTGTTATTTATGTGCCAGCAGAATGGAAAAAAGATAATTGCTTAAGGCTTTTGATTTAGTATGTGCAGTAGAGTTCTGTTTTTCTGTGTTAAATAAAATAATAAAATATCTTCACCATGTATAAAGTGTCACTTACAATAAAATAGAACAACTGAAGTGCCATCCTCCTTCACCTCTTCCTCCTGGCTTTCCCTTCGAACTCTTTCCTGTAAAGAACCTCTGGTGCCTGAGGAAGACTTCAGAGTCACATTAGAAATTGGCTTCCATGGAAGGAAGGGCACACAGGATGATCTGAAAACAGGATGTGTTTTGGACACATTCCTCTGCTTCTCTATTTTGGTTTTGCTTGTAGATTCATTTCCTTTTTGTAACAGCTTGAAGTTCAGTGACCTGCTGTATGAGTAAATTCGAATGGATTACCTCTAATCTTACAATTTAAGCTTTTCATGAAGTGTACTCTTAAGAAAACAGAAATGCAGCACTGAGTTGGAGTGTCAGTTAGCAAGGAGAGAAATTCTGTACAACAGTGGCTTGGCCTACTGAGACACAGAGAGATTCAGGTCTAAGAGAACAACTTCCTCTTTGCAGCCTTCCTCCAGCAAGCAAGGACTTTGATCTCATTTTAGGAAAAAAAAAAGAAAAAGAAACTTTGTCTCTTTGCTAGAATGACAACAGAAAAATTCCAAAAGCTGATCTGGAAATGTTTTAAAACAATGACAGTTTAATAATGACAGTTGGGTTTTCTCCTGCATTGTGAGTGTCAGCCTATACTGCAGAATTAGTTTCAATTGATTGTAAACTAATGCTGTAAACTGTGGCACATAATAATTTGGTTTAAATATGCAGATAGTTCAGATTATTGGTGGAAACTGAAGAAACTCCACTTTCAGCACTACCGTAGCAAAATTGAAAGTAATGGATTTTACAGATAATCTTACAGTGTTTTTTCCTTCTGGAATTTAACTCTATATACTTTGTGTAATTTTTTTCTCAATAATGACTTTATTTAATCTCTTCTATGTGAAGTTCTGCAGTATATACACATGGAAAATTCATATATTTAGATCACTATAGTAGAGTATTGTTCTTTGTACTTTAAACCAATGCATTGTTCTTAAAACTAGGAGTTGAAAGCAGGACATATCAACCTAACAAATGCAGTAAGACAATGAGCATAGAAGTATTCACCTTCTAGTGAAATAAGTGAAAGACTTATTTACTGGAAACAGGTAATAAGTGACTTTTTTAAAGGAGTGTCAGATGATGGTTATCTACAGTAATGAATTCCAGAGGCACCTCACCTGCCAAAGTCAGAGTTGTTAGAGATATGCATCAGAAGTATTATTATATTGGGTAGCAGAGTTCAAAAGCTAAGGAGCAAAGCTGATGTTAATGACTTGTGGTTAGGTGGCATTCAGGGCAGGACTGCCTCATAAGATTATTGTTGGTAGGACTTGGACCTGCTGATTCCTGCTGTTAGTGCCAAAATAACAGGATCTTAGTTCTACCAACATGTTTTAGACTCTGTTGTTTTTTTTTTTAAACCTTGTACTTAAGCAATTAAGATGCAGAATTTTCTACAATTTTGTGTGTGTTGAGAAGAGCTTCATTGAACACAGATTTTCACACAGTTGTCTTTTTACCTACCCAGTCTCACCTTTGAACTAAAGGGGAAAAGGGATGTTTGAAAGCTAGAAGTAATGATGCCTATCATTTGAGAAATTAAAAATGAGAGTGGGAATGAAGTAGCAATATAATCTGATTTTTTCTTTAAAATGCAGGTGTCAGTAAACAAGTGTTTTCTGGCTTTTTTAGTGTATATATAAAGATTTTTGAACTTAGTGCATATGAGTAGAGGTCATCATTACACATTAGTTCCTTTCTTGAACTGAGGGCTTTAACAGATGCATTTTACCTACTCCCCAGTGACTAAGGGAATTCTGCCATGCCTTGATTAGGACTCCCCTGTTCATTGGATGAGCTTGAACTATGGCACTGCTCTCCTTTTATGAGCAGGTGACCCGCCTGGTGGCTGAGGGAAAGGCTGTGCAGTCTGCCTGGATTTCAGGAAGCCTTTGGCACTGTCCCACATTGGTCTGGAGAAGCTGCAGCCATGCCTTGCACAGGTGCACTCTCTGCTGGGTTAAAACTGTCTGGCATGAATGGTGCCACATCCACGTGGGACCAGTCACTGGTGGTGTTTCCCAGGGATGAGTACTGGGCCCAGTCCTTTTTGAGGTTCTTTATTGATGATCTGGATGACAAGATTGGGAGCACCTGTCCGGTTTTCGGCTGTTTGGAGGGCCTGGAA